CAGGCCACATCAAGCTGCTACCATGGAAGACGCAAATTTCCCAAATCCAGGGTCTGCTCTGGGTCCAGAACTCCATGGAACTGGAGAAGCGGTCTTGTTTTTCAGAGACTCTCCAGAGATGTCACAATCCCGGTATGATGTCAAAACTGCTTCAAGGGTGATGAACTCTGGCCTTGCCGATGAGTCAACAGAGGGTGGGTTTCCGCAAGCAGCCTGCTGTTTACACACATAACCATGGCGAACGGCATGCAGCCGGAAGCCTAGGCAAGGGTCACAGTGGCTGAGGTGGAGCTTGGCCCCTCACACTCAGCCTCACGGGCCTCCTGCAGAAACTGCTGACACCCACCCCTGCCGGGGGACTCAGCCTCCTGCAGCACCTATGAGACCCAAGCCTTCTGGGAAGGACTCACCCACCCAGAACCATCAAGGGCCCACTTTGAAACACACAAGCAAACTGAACCCCTAAGCCAAGCAGGCAGGAGGCCATTGCCTTCAGAGAGGACAGAGCTCAGGCCTCCCATGGCATCTGAGCCCTGTCCTAGCTAGGAGATTCCCTCCCCCTGCGTCTCTGCCCACTGTCTCACCTGAGAAATGAGAGGTGCACCCACCAGGGGGCGGAGGGCAGGGAGAGGATGCGGTAGCAGCCGAAGAGCAGACATGGGGAGCAAGGCACAGGTGTCGGTCACCATCATCCTCAGGCTTTCTCAGGGGAGGGGGCACAACACGGTCACAGCTAGTAACTTTTAAGAATTTGCATGCTACTCATGCCATCTGTGCTCCAGGAGCCCAGAATGCTGGCATCTGACTAGGACTGAAGACCACAGCGGGACCCCCTTGGGGTTGAATCCCAGGGGCTCAAGCTTCCTCGCAATCCCAGAGGCAGACTGGGCCAGTGAGGACAGTCCCAGTGATCTCAGGCTGGCAGACGCTGCCCCCCCAAGCCCCAAGTGCCCCCAGTGCAGTGGGAACAATGAGCTAGCCTTCTGGCCAAAGTTGTCCAGCAAAGGACATGTTCCTGGAGCTTACTGGGGCCTGGCCCACAGCCAGGAGGGGCAGTGCCAGCCATTCCTAAAGGTGGCCCATCTGAAAAGCAGATCAGGCTGGCAAGAGCTGCCCCCCTTGGGTTAAGGAGGGTGCCCCCCAGGAAGGGGAGATGAACCCGCCTCCTGGGCCTCGCCGTGGGAGGGGAACAGAGGCTAAATTAAGGCTCCTCCTGCCACTGGTGCCCAGGCACACATCCACGCAGCCGCCTCCTTAGCAGCAGGCAAGCAGCCCCCAGCGCAGCTCCAGAACCATTCTGAGGCAGTCTGCCGGCTTCCTCCACCTCTCTCCACAGTACGGCCCCAGCAGAGCCCTGTGGCTGCCCTCCACACCTTTACTTGCACCAGCTCCCATCCCCGTCCCCAGTCTCTCCTGTCTCAAGGCCAGTACCCACAGCATGCCTGGAACCCCTCTCCCCTCCCTCCTCAGGACTCCTCACCCAGTGGAGCTCACCCATGGAATCTCCTAGAAGCTCCCTGTCCCCCCCTTTACCCCACCCTCCCCAACACTGACTACTGACAAGTCCTTCACATTGACTTCTGTGCTGCCCTGTTCATTATCTGTCTCCTGCCTCTAACTCATGACATTTGGGCCCTCCTTGGTCACCTGTGAACGTCCAGCTCCTGAGCAGCAGCCCCATACAAACCAGAAGCTCAGTCAGATTTGGGTGTGACGCAGGAACCCAGGTTCCCGATATTCCACAGTTCCTGCTCAAACCTCCGGGCAGGAACTGGCTCTGGGTATGGGCACCAGGTGCTGTGAACACCAGAGTGGTAGGAGCTGCACTACAGGCTGCACTTGTGCCAACAGGATCCCCGCAGCCCAGAGAGAAGGGTTTGGAATTCGGGGGTGGGTCAGGCACTAGGACACTCATAGCTCTGAGAAGGATCCAGAATGGGGAGGGTCAGGCCCTGGAAGCCTCCTAACTCTGAGGAGGAGGATCTGGACTGGGAGGCGTCAGGCACAGGCCCCAGGCCTCACACCCGAAAAGATGAGATTCAAACCCAGATAGGCTCTAATCCCCAGGCTTCTTGCGCCCCTCCCTGGGCCAATTTTTCCTAATTACCAATATGATCCTCTCCACCAGGAAGTTTATAATCCAGGAGAGGAGAAGGTCACCCAGCAACAGAGCCCTCCAAATGCTGAAATGGTGGAGGCCAGTGAGCATTTTAGGGAGACGCTTCCTCAGAGTGGTCAGGGGACACTTCTCTGAGCAGGTACATCACACTATCTTGGAAGGATGGGTTGCATCCACACTTCCTCTTTTCTCCCGGAAGTAGTTCATCACAGTGAAAAAGAAGACCCACAGAGCAGCTGCCTCAGGACTCACTTGAGTTTGGTTTTTTTTGTTTTTTGTTTTTTTTTGTTTTTTTGTTTTTTTGTTTTTTTGTTTTTTTGTTTTTTTGTTTTTTTTGTTTTTAATTCAAGGAACACTGCATGATCCCCAAGTCTGGATGGGGGCAGCTGAGTATATTACTACATCTTTCCAACTACTACTTTCCACCACGCTCTTTACCTTTCACCACATTCCAGGCTGGCCACCAGGTCTTCACAAAGCCAGCTCAGACTCCACAGACCCTGGTGACAGAGACCGAGGACTTCTACTCCAGCTACTCCAACAGCTGGGATTACAGGCTCCCTGGAGCCACAGAGAGAGATTCATAGGAAGTTCCTCTCTGGTTCCCTGCCACAGCTCAATTTATAAAACCTTCTTTGCCACTGGCAAATGTTGCCACTGGCAAACCATACAACCACAGCCACTAGAGAATACAAAACTCTAGATGATAATGACAGCTGTACATACGAAGTTTTGTTAATAAACAATACACTTCTCTGGTCACACAAACCAAGTTCAAGTCACCCTCCCCATGCCCACCAGCCAAAAGCCCTGCACATACGTGCCTGGCTGCCCTGATTTCAGCTCAGTCAGCTACACTACCCAATGGGTAAGATTAAATACAGAAATGCCAAATAATTTAAACTATCAACCAGCTTCTGAGAAAAACGCAAGTTTGGGTCACCCCGAAAACAGCCCAGCCAGCCAAGTTGCCCCAAATGGCTTTAGAGAAGTTCTTCAAGGAAACCCCTCCCGACTGGTCAACACTAATGTACACAGCTGGGCTCCAAGTAGGATGGGCTTGAGTCTGCGGCTACCTTCACCCTCACATGAGGAAGATCCAGCTTAGTTAGGGGGTGTAACCAACACCCTAAATTAAAAATAGCAGTGTGACAGTATGAGATGGGTGCACAGGCAGGCCTTCCAGACGACTGAATCAAGTCAGGGCAGCATGGCAGGGAAGGCGGGGCTCCTAAACCGAAGTGACCAGGTACCAAGTTCGCCTTATTTACATGACTCATGAGCTGTCCCCAGGCTGTTTCCAGGAAAGCCTGCCTTCCTGCTGGACAAGTCTGAATGGCCCAGGAAAAGGGACTCAGGGCCAGAATTCCACAAGGAGGAGGCTTAGGTTGGCCACGGTGCCCCCACATTCTCCTCCTCACCTGCAGGGGCACCTTAGCCTCATCTTAGGGAATCCTTTTGACAAGGTGAGAACTCGTTTTTCCAAAAAAGATGAAGTCCCCATTCTACGAATGGCAAAGTGAACACCAGGACAGGAAGGAAATTGCTTAAAAAAAAAAAAGGTTGGGGGGGGAAGCTTGGCAAGGGTGGGCATCGGGATAGCAGTGGGAACATTACACGGGAAGACATTCCCGGCTTAGCTCATGGTGCTGAGCAAGTCTGGGGCAGGAAGAAAGCCACATTCCTTCCTAGTTAGTCTCTCTCCTTGCCCGCCCTCGTCCGCACCCCCCTTCCCAGTACACACACACACACAGGGGGTTGGGAGGGCAGGTCTTTCCTGAGCCTGACAGCAGACAATCCAACTCCACCCCCAGCTACTTTATGACTATGGATCCCTTACTTTCCAAGCAAGGAGGAAAAGGCTCCCAAACCACTTCCCCTCAGGTCCTGACCACTCTGGGCACCTGCAACTTCTGTCTCAGCACAGACGGAGGGCGCCATGACACAAACAGAAATGGGAAGAAGCAGGTTTCTGACCACGGCCCCCAGATGTTCCCCAAAGTCAAGCCTGAAAGAAAGGGGCACCACAGCCTCCTCCCACCCCACGCACCACCCGGGCCAGGTGGCAGAAATGAAACGCCGCAAACTTCCCCAGATGGGCCCAAATCTGGCTCCTGAGAGGCGGTGGCCAGAACTCCCTCCCGGGTGCCCACTACACGTTCCCAGCCTGGGAGAGGCATCAGGCCAGCAAACCCCCACATGCACAACTTCTTTCCCCAAAAAACCACTCCCACTTTCCAAAGGTGTCAGTGGGACAGGGTCACCTGGGTAAGTTGGGCGGGAGTTAGGAACAAGCTGTCAGTTTCTGCCCAAACTCCCCTTCCCAAGAACCAAGAGTGAACCCGATTCCAGGGGCCCCACTGGCAAGCGTCAGACAGGCCCCCGGTGCACACAAGCCTGCCCACACAAACGGAATGGGACCCCACAGGTGCCCTGACAAGGGTGCCCAACTGACCCACCCTGCCAGAGGCCAAGACAGAGAGGTCCCAAGTCCCCCCACGCCCCGTGACCGGACAGCGCTGCCACTCCCACCCCACCCTCGAGCCAGGTGAACAGACCAGTTCCTGCCCAGGTGCCAGGACGGCCCCGGAGGTCTCCATGTACCAAAAGAGCCGCCCCCGGACCAGGCGCCTGAGTTCGGGCCCCCCGGCCTCCCCGGGTCACCCGTCAGTGCAGCCTCCCGGAGCCAAGAAGAAACGCGGTTCCCCGCGCTCCAAACCACACATGCGCCCACGTCGCGACCCGCCGGCCCAGGGACTCGGGAGCAGCAACCTCGGACGACAAACGCCGCACCTCAGACCAAGACGCCGCGGCGAGGAGAGCGCGAGGCCGGCCTGCGCCCAGACATCCCCGACGGCCGCGTCGGCCCCGCGCCGCTCACCTGGCTGGCGCGGTAGCTCTCGAAAGCCCTCAGGGCACTGTCGGTGAGCTTCACGTGGAACACCGACACCTTGCTGCCGTCGCTCACCCGCCCGCACGACAGCCCGTAGCTCCGAGCCTCCTTCAGTGCCGCCATCTTGCGACCATCGCTCACCCGCACCCCCTTCCCGGCTCCAGCGCCGGCGCGCCAGCCACGCCCCTCCCCGCCGCCTGCTGACGCGCTGCATTATTCATGAGACGCGGCTGGTCCCGCCCTCTCCAAATCCCCAGAGGCCCACAGTCGGCGCCGCTCTCTCCACTAACGTACTGCATTATTCATGACGCGACTGGCCCCGCTTCCTGCGGGCCCCGGGGAGGCTCACAAGAACCTCCCCGACAACTTGTGTATTCATGAAGCCTGAATGGCCCCACCTCTCAAGACCTTGTAAGGACCTGACTCCGCCCCGACACGCGCATCCCCCGCCAGGGCCCGCCTCAATATGTGTTATTCATAACCCTGACTCAGCCAAGCACGCTGAAGCCCGGACCAACCAGCCGCTGACGTGATGCATTATTTATGAAGTCTCTTCAAACCTCTCTCTGGCTTCTGCTGAGGGCCGCAGCGGGAGCGGTGGGGGCGGGGAGGGCGGGGGCGGTGCAATACACGTGGGGGGCGGAGCCAGGGGCTGGCAGGGTGAGTGGGCGTGACTGTGCAAACCGAGCTAGCGCGTCGGCCGCTGGGATGGGCTGGAGGGGCTTTCCTTAAAGTGAGCGGATGGAATTCCTTGCCCAGTAGTGCTTGGGGGATTGATTGGTAGAGGAGTGCTGGTAAACTTTGCTCATGGTAACCTTAGACTTTTTTTTTTTTTGGTATCATTAATCTACAATTACATGAGGAACATTATGTTTACTAGACTCCCCCCATCACCAACAGTAGACTTTTAAGAAAATAAAATCCTATATCCCCAAAGACCTGTGAGATAGTTTGTCCAGCTCTCCCATAAATTACACAATTCAGTGGTATTTAGTACATTCACCATGCTGTGCAGCCACTGGCACTATCTACTTCCAGAATATTTTCATCACCTCTAAAGGGAACTCTTGCCTATTGAGCAGTCATTCCCTATTTGCTCCTCCCCAGCTGCTGGCAACCACTAACCTACTCTTTGTGTCTATAGATTTGCTTATTCTGAACATTGCATATCAATGGTCTCATATAGTATGTGACTTGACTGCCTGCTTCCACGCAGCATGATGTTTTTGCAAAACTTATTAAGGAAACCTCCTTTGAAATGAAGTCAGGATGCTAGAAGAGGGAAAGAACTCTTCATGCCCAAGGAATTCAAGTAAGGTCAATTGCAGACCCCAACAGGAAGAAGCATATTTTGCGTTTTCCAATAGAAACAAGCCTACTTTACTACCCCTGAAGGAGGAAGATTTTCTCCTTGCCCAGCAACAGCTCAGCCAATGAGAGATGGCCAAACTCTGCTATTCCCAAACAACCCATTTTGATGGTAAAATTACTGGTTTTATTTTTCAAGGTCAACATTCTTAAGGCCATCCACATTGTAGGCATGTGTCGAGGATTCATTCCTTCTTATCACTGAATAATATTCCATTGTGTGGATGGACCACATTTTGTTTATACTTTCATCTGTGGATGGACATTTGGGTTATCTCCATTTTTTTCACTATGATGAATGTACAAATTTTTGGGTGGACATGTTTTTCTTTCTCTTGAATCTATACCTTGGGAGTAAAATTGCTAAGACATATGGTAATTCTATGCTTATCCTTTCAAGGAACTGCCAGGCTCTTCCTCACAGAACTCTGCCATTTTATCAATCTTCCATTTTATATGTGAGAAAACAGGTTGAAGACCTGTACAAGCTTTTCCCAGGCCCTCTGGTCTCCTGACCTACAGAAAGTTAAGTCATTTTCTTTCTCACTTTAATCTAATTACAGACAGTGGCCATAGGATGAAGATTATCAGGTAAGAAAGGAAGTTGAAGTCCAGGGACCTTGTCTGTGTTTCCACCCAAGTGATCTCATTAGATCTCATTAGTGACTTGCCAGCACTACCATCTATTTACTCCTTGACTGTGAACTGTTGATACCCCAAAAGCAGTATTAGATTCCTTGCAACCTTTTCCTGTACTGTACCTGTCATTAATATCTCCATTTACAAATGGAGAAACTGAAGCTTGAAGGGGTAAGGCAGCACTTGAAGGCATTCATTATGCCAGTGAGCAGGCTGGCTGGAATGTGAACTCAGATCTCTCTGACCCACAGTCCTCCGGATTACCCTTCACCCTCTGGTACCTGGGTCTCTTTCTATATAATTCCTCATAGAACATCCTTAGCACAGGTTCAGCAAGGAGGTGCTCAAAATACATGTGTTGAATGAATAAATTCAGCCCATCAGCCATCAGCCCATCTCATGGAGGAGGAGAAAGAGGCTCAGAGAACTTCAAGGTCTCACATGCAGCTGCAGAGATTCCAACTCTAGCCCGTCTGAGCCCCAGGCCAAAGCTCTGGAATCTTCCCCCTTCAACTGGATCATTTGATCCCACAAGAAAGATCCTGGCACCTGCTTGGACATGCTGACCTGTCTGCCCACTGTCTGTATCCAGGTGTTAAAAGGGAGGCTGAGCCAGGTAAATACTGGAACAAGAAGGCCTGCACTGCCCAGAAGGGCCACAGAAGGGCAGGAATAAGGTCATCAGGGGAGTGGGTAGCCTGGAGTAGAGGATTGGGAGGGTAGAAATAGCCAGACTACTGAATAGAGGAGAACATGGAAGGCAGCAGCACAGAGGGCCAACCAGCTCACTATGTGACACTGGGAAAGGCACTTCCCCTCTCCAAGCCTCTGTGGATTCACCAGAGAAAGAGAAAACAGTAATAATAACAGTCACCCACACTGAGTGCCTAAAACACCAGGCACTGTGCTCAGTGCTTGGCATCCACAACTGCCTTTTGGGATGGATACAGTGTTTTGGACCCTGCCAGATGAGGAAACTGAGGCTTACAAAAGTTAGAATGAGGAACATTGCAGCTATGGGCTGCACTGCTTGGCAATGAGCATTTCTCGACTTTACATTTAATGCTCTAGTGGCTTCCAAGAGGAACCCCAGAACAATAATGGAGGATTCACCAAGGCCTTGGCATACTGTTCAAATGTCTCTAAGAACTACGTCATCCAAAAAACTGGAAGCCAGTTGATCACCTTGGGGTGACCCCTTGATACAGTCCCCACCTGATAAGATCATTGCAGAAGCTCTAGTTCTATGGTGGGAACAGTGGCCCTAGCCTGCCCCCACCACCTGTGTGACCTCAAACATACTTTGCCCTTTCTGTTCAATTTACTCATCTATAAAATGGGGGTGTGGGTAAAACTGCAGTATTTCCAGAACCTCTTGCCTGGCTTTAGTTCATCTGTATATCAACAGGTGTTTTAAAGGGTGAAGAGAAGTGGTCCATGTACATATCAATAGGTAATTATAAGGGCTTGCAGGGTTTATCAGGACCAGAGAGGTTGGGTGGAGCTCTCTTCTGCTACAGCCAGTGCAGGAGAGAGGCAGGGATGACTGCTTGTAAAAAATAAAAGTGTTTCTAAACTTTATTTCCCTCTTTGACTGATTTCGGTTTTAGAGGTTTTTGCCCGGGGGTTTTCCCCCCAGAGTTACAGGGGGTAATAACAGCATTTACCCAAGAGCCAATGGCAAAAAGCAAACATCTTGTAAATCATTATTATTATCAATAGGTTTATAATTTATCTACAAAGTCCCTTTTCTTCAGAAATTTATATTTGCATAAATTTAAAACCATATGTTTTTAAATCATACTGGGATGAACACACACCATTCATTATTATTATTGCTAACTAAGAGCTATTGCTAATATATGTATTAGTTAGCTATTGCTGTATAACAAAGTACCTCAAACTTAGGGTTCACAACAACAAACATTATCTCACAGTTTCTGTGAATCAGAGGCTGGAGTGTTTTAACTGGACTTCATAAGGCTGCAATCAAGGTGTTAGCTGGGCTGTGTCCTCATCCAGAAGTTCAACTGAAGAAGGATCCGCATCCATGCTCCTTTGAGTTGTCGGCAGAACTCATTTCCTGGTAATTGTAGGTTTGAGGTCCCCATTTCCTTGCTATCAGATGGGAGCCACTCTCAAACACTGACCACATGGCCCCGTCCATCTCAGTAACAGAGAGCCTCCCTCAGGTCTAATCCCTCTCCTAGTTCAAATCTCTCTCACTTCTTCTGCAACCAGTAGGGTCAGGCCCACCCAAATTATCTCCATATCTTAAGGTCAACTGGGCCCAGTAACAACATAATCATGGAAGATCCACCTCATTCCCAGTCCTGGGATGATGCAGGATGAGAAACCCCAGGAACCCCTTAAAATTTTGCAACCCACAGCCCTTGGAGCTGCATCTTTGCACATCTATCTCACAATTTCTTACAAGTTGAGTTGCTGGGTCAGAGCAAATGGGCCTTAGGGATTTTGAAACATACTGTTTTGCAGTAGAGGGAACATGAGGATCCATAAGGACACTCAGTTTGGAGCTGGCCTTTCTGCATGGTGGGGGGGCCATCGTGCAGTCCTGGGGACCTACGTGTGCTCCACTGCTCCCTTAACTGGGCACTTTTTGAGGCCCCTGGCCTCATTCATGCAATGAGGAGGCTCATAGCCCTTCTCAGGATGGGTGGGAGACACATTGTGGGGGTCCCTAAGATGATCCTCAGGTTTGACTTGCTAGAAGGACTCACAGGACTCAGAAAAGCTGTTATATTCATAGCCATGGCTGATCACAGTCAAAGAATACAGTCTAAAATTGGCAAAGGAAAAAAGTGCATAAGGAAGACCCCAGGAGAAACCAAGTGCAAGCTTCCAGTTATGGATAGTGCTTGATTCTCCCAGCAATGATGTGTGACAACATGCACAGAATATTGCCAACTAGGGAAGCTCACACAAGCCTTGCTGTCCAAAGGTTTTATTGGGGAGGGGGAGTCAGTCATGCAGATATGGGGTTGACATCAGTCTCCATAGGGTGACAATCCCGCACAGTCGAGCTGATACCTTTTGGCCAAAAGCCTCCACCCTAAATCATATTGTTAGTCTAGATTATCTGGTGTGGTCCAAGGTCTCAGGTAAACAAAGATACTCTTATCAGTCAGGACATTCCAAGATCCTACAGGTAGCCTCCCAGGAGCCAAAGAAGGGCCAGTCCTTTCTTGGGAGTACGCAGGGTTTGGATGAGCCTGGCTTGCCAAGTTGTTTCTTTGCTATTCTACATCAGGTGGGGCTCCAAAGGCCCCCAAGCCACCATGTTGCCTCATGAGTCAGCTGCCTCATCCTCACCATGAGCAATAAAGAGGATAAGCTTGATGTTACCCGGGAAGGGTTTGCAGGGCTTACCATGGGACCCTTCCTCAAAGGTGGCCTGCGGGCTGGCTCTATCTTCTGGGAAATTTTCAGGGTCCATTAAAACACTTCCATGTTCAGGAGACTGAAAACTCCACAGTTGATCCCCTCCATGGTAATTTCCTTCCATCTGTCCGTCTGTCCACAGCATTTATTATCCCTCCTTTCTGTCCTTGGCCCGGTCAGCAAGGCTCCACCAAGACATGGACAGGCCACAGAAAGAAACTTATATATCACCTGGCAGACCCCCTCTTTTCTAAATGCCCATTTCCTGTAAAAGATACCCAGCTTGACTCAAGCAAAAACAATTCACTGGTTCAAAGATTGAAGAAATGACAAACTCCAGGGACACTTGACACCATGACTTAGTCTCTCTCTCTCTCAACTCTGCTCTGGGTAGCCCTCCCTCTAGTCAGGCCCTATCTCTGTGGAGGCAAAGATAACCACAGCCATGCTAGGCGGTTGTCCCACCAGCTCAGCGGCAGCCCCGAGAGAAGAGGGCACCTATTTCCCCATAGCTCCAGCGGGTCTCAGGGAAGGTTTTGGTTGGCTCACTGTGGGTCACATGATCATCTGGAAGCCAGTCACTGTGGCCAGAGGGCTGGGATGCTCTGATTAGTCAGACCTGCACTGCAGCTTTATCCCTGAAAGCTGGTGGGAAATCACTCCCATCTGTACAGAAAGGAGTGAAGGTGAGTTCCACCAGGAGAAGAAATAGGACAGGTATTCAGGAACACTGGTGGTTCCCCAGTGGCTGGCCCTGGCCAGCCATCAGCCCCAGGTTGTCCTTTAAGGATGACATGAGATGGAGGCATGCAGAGACGCATGCCTCATGCTTGGGAGATGTGAACTCTCACATGCACACAAAACTCATTCTACCATGCTCACTTCCAATTTATAGCCCTCTGTGAGCCACACCCCTGAAGGGTAGGCCAGCCTGAGTCAACAGCCAAGACAGGGTACACAGAAGGCATTATTCATGTCTTGGTATGAAAGAAAAATCCATTTTAACTGTCCTCTGAACATACCGTGCACCATCCAGCCAGCACACCTTGTACCAAGGCAATGCCAGGAGTGCCATTTGCTGCCACCAAGGGCAGCAAATTTCAATGCCCCTTGTTCTGGACACCCTGGCTCCCCAGCCCTGCCCTGTTCAGACCATTGAGGATGGAATGACCAAGAGAATAAACATACTGGAGTTCATAATCCTGGCCTTGGAATTCAAATCTTCTCTCATCTTCTGACCAAAACTTGCAGGGAGGTGTAGAACCAGGGCTGGGGGCGGCAAGAGCCCAGGTTCTGGAGGCAGGCTGACCTGAGACTGCTGCTGCTTCTGGGTGGTGGGACCCTGGGCAGGAGCTGTTTCCTCCCTGAGCCTCAATCTGCTCAGCTAATAATGGGTACAACCAAAGCAACCTTGGAGCAAACGGGGAGGCACACCTCGCCCAGCTCCAGTGTTACTAAAAAACTACTCTTCGGGACAGTGTGGGACTCACCACGGGGAGACAGAGACCCTTAGCACAGAGCATAGTCCAGAAAAGATTCACACATGTGGTCAGCTGATTTTTGACAAAACTGCTACAGTAACTCACTAGGGAAAAGAGAGTCTTCCCCACCAGTTTCTAGAACAACTGCACAGCTATATGTAAAAAAACCGAACCTCAATCCCCAACTTCATACCACATACAAACGTTAACTCCAAACAGATTGCAGACCTCTTTGTAAAAGCTAAAGCCATAAATTGTTTAAAAGAAAACCTGGAAAACCTCTACAAACTGGGTTCAGCAATTACTGACAAAAAGCACATGGGATGGAAGGAAAAAACTGATAAACTGGGCTTCATCAAAATTTGAAACATCTGCTCTATATAAGACCCTGATACGAAAATGAAAACACACACAGTGAAAAAAATATGCCTACCTGACAGAGAATCTGTCCTTGGAATACTAAAATTGAGGCAGAATGAGGCTGCCATGGGTACTCAGTGGATTAATGCTACTCCAATACATGGACAGCACCCGGGAATGACAGTGGCGACCCTCACACCCAGGTCAGAAGTCACTGCGGGAAGCCCACGCTCCTGCTGACCACCACTCAGGCCAGCTTCATGGCCTGCAGTTGGCAGGACTGAAGAAAGAGGGGATATCCTTTCTGGCATGCAGGCTCTCAGAGTCTGGCTAAACTACAGCCCCCATTCAGCACTTGTCCTGAAGCACCCCTCCTTTCTGAGGCCAAGGTAGAAGCCTAAGGGCGAAGATTGGTAGGGAGAAGAAACAGCTTAAGCCATCCCTAGATTTGTGCCCCAAGTTAGCCAGGTGGCCTGGAGGGCAGAGGCCTGGAGCAGGCAGAGCATAGATTCAGGTTTAAGGCCTGACAGCCACCTTCTACTGGGAGGCTATAATTGGTGGCATCCCCTCCTGGGCTGTTAGGGGATGGGTGCAGGCCAGAAACTTGTGATGGTTTATTTTCAGAGATCTCATTTCCTGGAGGCAGGATGAAGCAGTGAGACAGGCCTCGGGGGCTGGGCAGATAAGAGGCCTGAATGCTGCTCTGCCTGGCCTGGCTGTGATGGTGGGCAATATTTAGGGGAGAAACTCCTACAGCCCTGGGTTGTTGGGAAAACAAAACAAGACTGAGAATCAACCGCAACCCTCCCCATAGCCCCTGAGGCCCTGCAGGGTGGAACTTTGTTGACCTGTCCCTATCAACCTTGAACACACCAGGATTGATTCTGCCCCTGGGCCTTTGCACCGACCATGCTACTGCCCAAACACAGGGCTGTCAGCTCACTGCACAGCCAGATCCCTATGGTAGGTGAGGTCTCAGTGCAGTCCCCAGTTAGGTCCCATCAGGGTCCCCATTTTCAGATGAGACAACACACAAGAGGTGGGCTAACAAGCATGGCTGGGTGCCCTGAACACATTGCCCCTCTTCTTCAGGCCTCAGGTCCACCCCCCCCATCAAGTGGGTCTACTGTGGCTGGAAAAGAGACACCCCCACTCTATAGTCCTGGCTCAGCCACATCCATAGTGCTGCATGGCCCTGGCTGTGCCACAGGCACAGGCTCCAAGTGACAGTGAAAGAAGGCCCCAGAGCCAGCAGAGTGCGGGGTGGAAGGCTTTATTTCACTGAAGTGGGGGGTGGGGGTGAGAGGGGTGGAGGGAAGGAGGGCAGCAGGCGGGGCAGGAGGGGTTGGTGCTTGGACAGGGACTGGGTTGGGGAAGGGCTGCCTCCAGGCCTGTTGGGAAGGAGAAACTGAGGCTGGCCTTTGTTGAGACCTAACCCAGTGGGGTCAGGTCCGGGTAGGAATTGAGTCTGGAGGAATGAGGGCCACCTCCCTCTGGGCTGGACGTGGGGCCCGGGCCCTGCCTCACTTTCCTCTTACAGGGCCTTAGTCCCTCTTGCTCACTGGGCCATGTGAACCCCAAACCTCACTGCCCCCACCCCAGAGGAGGGGCCTAGGCCAGAGAGAGCAGTGGACAGGGAGTCTGGGGGAGTTAGGGAGCATGGGGTGGGGTCCATGGTGTGTGGAGAGGGTGGCAGCCATCTGGGTGGTCAGTTCCTGGCAGCGATGACCACAGAGAGAGCCACGCCCCCCAGGGCAATGGCAGTTGCCCCAAACAGCCACTTCCATGGGATAGACTGTGGATAAAGGGGAGAGATGAAGGGGCTGGTGAGCAGTCAAGACTGATTTGATGTCTTAGGTCTCAGCTACCAGTATGGTCCAAACACACCTCCCAGCAAACCACAGCCTGACAATGCCTTTCCTGCCTCCTGGCAAACTCCTATTCATGCTTCAAAACTCAAGCCAAATGTCCCTTCCTCTGGGACACTTCCCATTTCTTCTGCAAGAATGATCATTTCCTACTCTGAGCCCTCCAGACTGTATTCCATCTTCTGTTCTAGCCCTGATCACACAGGGCTGGGTCTTCTCGTGTCCCCAGCATTGTAGTTCAGCCCAGTTTATGAGGACATCAATGCTTGCAAGATGAAGAAAACTCCCCCAGCATGGTGTACCCTTCCCACAGTCCCTGGCCCTTCTCTGGGAGCTGCCCTGTGCCTATCAGCCCCAGCTCACCCAGGCACCCTTGCCGGGACACTTGGCAGGCAGCCGGCTGGGGTTGCCCAGCATTTTCCGGTACAGGGTGGTCTCTGTGTTCCTCTGGGCTGCATACTTCTTCATCAGTTTTGAGAGCTCTGTCTGGATTGTCTGCAAGAGGCAGTGCCAGCTGGACTAAGAGCATGCATGCAGACAGCCAACCTGACCATCACTGCTGGTGCTCTTGCTGAGGCCTTGGGTTGCTTTGGGGCTGAGACCAATGGGGGTTCCGCCAGTCCCTCTCTGGGCATCAGGAAAGTGGTGCTGTCTCCATCCCCCTAAGGAGCCAAAAGATGGGGCAGAACACAAGGCGGCCAGGAAAGATGAAGGTTCTGGGAGGAAAGCGGAGGCCACTGACACTGGACCAGGTGGTGGCACTCTCAGTCTCTGGGGCCCCTGGTGGGGTGGCGGTGAGCCTAGACCACCTATGCGGGGGTCATGAGGGTCTCAGCAAACTGACGGGCCCTTCAGTCACTCACCTCCTGCTACTGCCCAAGTAGGAACACCACAGAGAGAGTCACAGCAAGAAAGACAAGGGCCAGATCACAGGAGGGATTTCCCAGACAGGCTGGCAGGGCAGGTCCCCAAGGCACCCCTGCTCTGCTCACCTTGTTGGAAGGTTCCAGCTTCAGGGCCGCCCTCAGGATGATGATGGCCTCACTGTACTCGCCCTGCTGGGCCAGCACCTGAGGGAGGGAGTAGGCGGCATCACTCTGGAACCACACCGAGCCATGCTCTCCTTCAGGCAGGAAAGCCACCCTGACTGGTCCCATATCTATCTCCAACAACTGCCCTAGGGGTCCAGCCACCCTCATACAGCTCCCCTGCACCCTCAGACTACACAGGCACCCCATGAGGCTTGGTGCTGTCCCCACAGTCTGCTCCGTCCCTATGTGCCTGTCTTGGTCCATGCAGGAGAATGGGCAGCTCGCCTCACTGCTCTTCCCTTGCCACCTCGGCCAGCTGAAGAAGCCAAGGGGATGTCTCCAAAACTCTGGCCACAATGAATGAGTCAGAGCCAGGCATGTGACTCAAGCCAGCCAATGGGATCCAGCCTGCTATGCTGGTATCACAGGGAGGTTGACTGCTAAATGGGGATGGAAGCCTGGAGCTTTTTTTGTGGGGGGCAGGAGAGAACATCTTGGTCGCCCTGAGAGAGAAGCATGCCTGAGAGGAAAATCCACAGCAGACGGACACAGCATCCCCACAACTTTGCTAATGCCTGGATCCAGCCATGCCTGAAGCCACCGCCCTGACCAGCAGTTCCACAAGCTGTCAATTCCTCCTTTTGCTTGAATCTATTTTGAGTACATTTCCATCACCATCAACCAGCAGAGTCAAATGTGTGAGGCTACATAAGCAGACAGTTCCATTGCCCTCATGAGGATTATAAATCCCTGAAGAAAGGGATAATATCTTTTACATACATCAGGTGCTTAAAAAGTGCTGGCTGGACATAAAAGTAAACAAATCCTACCATTTGCAATAACATGGATGGAGCTGGAGGGTATTATGCTCAGTGAAATAAGCCAGGCAGAGAAAGACAAGTACCAAATGATTTCCCTCATTTGGGGAGTATAACAACAAAGCAAAACTGAAGGAACAAAACAGCAGCAGACTCACAACCCAAGAAGAGACCAGCAGTTACCAAAGGGGAGGGGTTGGAGAGGGTGGGTGGGGAGGGAGGGGGAAGGGGATTAAGGGGCACTATAATCAGCACTCACAATATAGGCAGGTCATGGGGAAGGCAGTACAGCACGGAGAAGACAAGTAGTGACTCTACAGCACCTTACTACGCTGGTGGACAGTGACTGCAGTGGGGTCGGGGTATTTGATAATGTGGGTGAATGTTGCAACCATAATGTTGCCCATGTGAAACCTTCATAAGATTATATATCAATAATACCTTAATTTTTAAAAAAAGTGCTGGCTGGAGGGAGGCCCTACTCAAGCCCCTCACAAACACACCAGGTGACCCAGCATTTACTTGTACCTCGGTTTCTTCAATTTACTACTAAAAAGTGCTGCAAGTCCCCCAAACACACATATACAGGGTGGGGATGAACAGGGGTAGGGGTGAAAGCAAATAGTCTGCACAGGTCAAATTCATGCCTATGTTCCACCAGCACTTACTGAGCACCTGCTGTGTACCAGGCCCTGTTTGCAGGGTTAAGAGTTAGCTGAGTAAGACAAAAGTCCCACCTTTCAGTATGAGAAACAGATGAGAAGCAAGACAGCTATCTGTGCTGATGGCAACATGGGAAACACAAAGACAAGGCAGGAGTGGCAGGGAGGGCTTCCCAAGGAAGTGACATCAGAACAAAGGCCTGCAGGAGGCAAAGAAGGGCCCCATGGGGGGAAACCTGGGGTAGGGATGTCTCAGGCAGATGGCATAACCTGTGCAAAGGTACTGAGGTGGGGGGGTGGACAGCAAGCAGTGAGGAAGCTGAGCAGGATGGAGAGAAGCAAGAGGAGAGGTGGAAGTATCCCCTCACGCCACTTAGGATGGCCAACACAGAAAAGAATAGAAACAACACATGCTGGCGAGGATGCGGGGAAAGGGGAACCCTCCTACACTGCTGGTGGGAATGTAAGCTAGTTCAACCATTGTGGAAAGCAGTATGGAAGTTCCTCAAAAAACTAAAAATAGAAATACCGTTTGACCCAGGAATTCCACTCCTAGGAATTTACCCTATCCAGTTTGAAAAAGACAGATGCACCCCTATGTCTATAGCAGCACTATTTACAATAGCCAAGAAATGGAAGCAACCTAAGTGTTCCTCAGTAGATGAATGGATAAAGAAGATGTGGTACATATACACAATGGAATATTATGCAGCCATAAGAAGAAAACAAATCCTACCATTTGCAACAACATGGATGGAGCTAGAGGGTATTATGCTCAGTGAAATAAGCCAGTAGGAGAGAGACAAGTACCAAATGATTTCACTCATCTGTGGAGCATAAGAACAAAGAAAAACTGAAGGAACAAAACAGCAGAGATTCACAGAACCCAAAAATGGACTAAGTTGCCAAAGGGAAAGGGACTGGGGGAGGTGGGGTGGAAAGGGAGGGAGAAGGGGAATAAGGGGTATTACGATTAGTACACATAACATAGGGGGGTGCACGGGGAAGACAGTGTAGCACAGAGAAGACAAGTAGTGACTCTATAGCATCTCACTACGCTGATGGACAGTGACTGTAATGGGGTGTGTGGGGGGGACTTGATGATGGGGGGAAATCTGATAACCACAATGTTGCTCATGTAATTGTATATTGATACCAAAATAAAATAAATAAATAAATAAATAAAATAAAAAGAGGAGAGGTGGAAGATGATGGCAGGAGAAAAAGACCAAATGGCTCAGAGCCCCAAGGGTGCAATGAAAATGCAGCTTCTGCTCTGAGGGCAAGAGGAACCATGGAGAATTATATACAAGGAGCAGTCACCAATGACCCATAGGGCAGTATTGGGGAGCAGAGAGAACCTAAGATCTGCAGTTCGAGTCTGGCCTCAATGAATTGCTATGACCCGGGATGTACCCTGCACCTGCCTGGGTGTTGGTTTCCCCACCTGTACTCAACAGAGCTTGGATGGCTGATAGCTATGCCCTTCTCAAATACACAGTTTGGGGCCAGCCCTGCTGCCTGGGGTAGGGGGAGCCAGCTTGCCCACCTGCCCGCGATCTAGAGTCCCCCCACCTGAGGCCTGCAGCCCACCTTGCCCTTGCGAAAGAGCGCCTTGATGTTGTCAGGCTGGTGCTCAAGCACAAGGCTGCAGGAGCGCAGGGCTGCACGGTAGTGGTCCAGTTTCAGCTGTGAGGCCGCCAGGTTGTTGAGACACTTTACCTTCAGCTGCAGGAGCTGCTCCTCCTCCTCGAATGTCATGTCCACTGTGGGGGAACAGTGCTCAAGCATGGCAGCCGTTGTCACGCCGCAAGCCCCCACAACCATGCATGTGCAGAGGGCTGGCCACTTTCTGCCTTGGGGAAATGCCCTGCACCCACTGTGTGACCCAGGCCAAGGCGCACCCCTTCTGCACCTGGTGATGGAGGGGATCAGGTGCTGGGGGGGTAAGTCTCTGAGTGGCCCAGTCACAGCACACGGGGCTGTTCTGAGCTCATGGTACTGGAACTTCCACCACCTGTGCTTCAGGGGACCTCAAGCCTCTTGATGGCCTGTTCCCCCACCTCTAACACAGACCAAGACCAGTACCTGAAGAGTTTCTGAGGTGCTCCTGAAGAGTTTACAAAATGGAGCCTAAGCAAAGGGACGGCCGAACCACAAGGCACATGGATCGACACTGCTGGCAGTCTTCCCACACCTCCCTGTGAACATCCTGCAATATCCCATTGATCTGGGCTACACAAGCCTGGAGTGGACCTTGGCCTAAAGGTTAGGGATGGTTGTGTATCTGGAATATTCTAGAACATTCTGAGTCTGCAGCCCTCTGTGGCTTGAGATTTCTAGCACTAGAGGATGCCTTTGCAGGGGAGGTGGTGGGGTTTGACCTGGCAGTAACCTTTGGCGCTGGAGGTGATGGCCTTGATGGCGAGGTCGTAGGAGTTGGCGGCCAACACAAAGTCTGCCCGCTGGTAGTGGGCATTGCCACACTCCCGCTTCCTGTTGGCCAGGGCCACACGCTCCTGCCCTGTGAGCATCTCCAGGTCAGGCCCGTCCACGGCAGTCTTCAGGGTCACCTCTAGGCACAGGGCCGCGTGCGGGGGGATGTATGGGCTCCTGCTGGGGGGTGGGGCAGGAGTAGCACTCAGACCCGGCGGCCACCATGACTGAACCCCAGGAATACTAGGGTCGCTTAGGAGCAGGCAGGAAAGGGCTCAAGTCTTGGAGCTGGCCTGACCATCAGGTCCTCCTCAGTAAAGCATGAGGTAAGTAATTCTTGCCACCCTCAAATTATGTGACTTGTTGAGTGAGTTCCCTTCCCTGACTTTCCTTTCCTATAGAATGGGCAGGCAGACTGTCGAGATGAGGGGGGCATCCATCCACCCTCTTCCCAGATCTGGCTGAGCTGGTGGCAACTTCTCACCTGCCTTGGGGGCCATAGCAGTACTTGGAGTCAGCAGTGACCATAGCTGTCTCCCCCACTTCCATGAGTGGGACACTGAGATCCAGCGCCTGGGAGTCAGGGGACAGGAGGGGGTCAGGCCCAGGTACAGAGTGACTGGCGCCATGTCTGCACCCTGCCCCACCCCCCACCGTCCCACTGCTCTGCCAGAACCACTCCACCCCTGCTCCTCCTACCTGGATGACATCGCAGTCACCCAGCGTGAATACCAGCTCAGATTCCTCCTGAACCCGCGTGCCGTTTTCCAGCGATGTCTGCAGTTGCACAGTGACCACCTGGCCCTGGGCCGGGAGGCTTGAGCCAGGCAGACCCGGGACCAATGTCTTCTTCCTCAACAGCCCGTTTCCTGCCAGGGACCAGAGACAAGCAGCCTGTCACTGGGTGGCTCAGGTAGGCACCTACTCCCCAAGCATCCCTGCCCAGCTACCCAAGTCCCGGGGGTGGCCCAGCAACAAGGCACAAACTGAGCTTCAAGTGGCTGCTCTGTCACTTCCTAGGCAGGTGACCCCAGCCTCGGAGCCTCAGCATCCATGGCTAGATACTAGGCATGGAAGGATGGATTTGGGGGGTGATGCTGGCTGGTTCCAGGGACGGGCTCAGTGAACACTGGCCGGTCTGACCTTTACCTTAGGAAAATCAAGGCTTAGGGAGGGCAACCGGTTGAGAAATGTCATCCTGCCCAGTTCAGGAAGGGTGACAGGGATCCCAGCAAAGAGACTCGGAGCCACCTGCCTCTCCCTCCCGATTTCAATCCCAGCCTTGTGACATTTGGGCCTTGATTTACCCAGCTGTGAAATGATACCCAGCAAGCAGTTTGCTTAGCAGAGTGCCTGTAACACCAGGATGTGTCCCTACCAAAGCCAAAGCACCATGTTGCCGAATTTACAAGTTAAATAAAGCCAAAGGGCCTGTAAAAGTAGCCCAAGATGCCCCCATGGAAGGGGACCACTGTATTTCCCTCCATAAGCCAAGAGATAGCATGAAAGGCCAAACAGCTATAGCCAGCCACCTACTGAGAGCCAGGCACAAGGCCCAGGCCCTCAGAATTCACCCAAGGAGCCTTTACAATGACGACACCCACTGTCATCCCACAGCAACTGCTAGGACAGCCAAGGGCTTACTCCTGTGGGGCAAGTCAAGCTGACATCACCTGATGTCACCCACGTTCCAACATGTACCTGTGTTCTGTAATATTCCACTGCTCTGGAATATACCACAGGTCTGAGCGGACCCTACTATGAAGGGCAGGGGCAGGGAGGTACCTATTCATGTTCTGGAATATTCTAGAATGTTCCAAATTTCTGTGCTGCTCCCAGACAGGTTCCCACATCCAGTCCGAGAACCAGTGATCTACTGGATCCCAAGGGGCCCCTGGATCACAAACAGACACTGCCTCTCATCAGGATGAACTCTGGGCAAATCAGTCCCCTCTAAAGGCCTCAGTTTCCTTGTCTAGAAGCCCAAATTCTGACCTCAGAAAGTGGCTGGTTCAAATATAAATGGACAGAGCCAGCCTCATGCTCAGAAGGGGAGCAGGACAGCCCTTAGTATCAGCTGGAAGGAGCCTCTCAAACTCTAATATACCCAAGGAGGCTGTGTGATGTTGGGTAAGTGCCTCTGCCTTTCTGAGCCTCAGTTTCCCCACCTTTAAAACAGGGATATGATAGAAATGACATCACAGGCTTGTTGTGAGGATAAAATATGATGATACACAGACTTGGTGCAGAACTAGTACTCAGTAAATTACCTAGTGTGATTTTCAGAAGCAGAAACATTTTACCAATGTCTCAGTGGGGATGGTATCAGCAACACAATTCTGTTGTATCAGTGTCACTATTATTTGATACTACTGCTTTACTACTATTTAGTATTAACAGAAGTAATGATTTTTTTACTGTTACCTCTGTGGAACTAGCATCATTTAGCATGTTAGATATCAGAATTAGTAGCAATATGTTTCACCTAGCTGTGAAGGGGTACATGGGTGGGGGTCATGCATTTGAATTCTCCTAGTTTCTTCCCTGGAGGACCTCTCTGAGCGATTCAAACACTAATAAATACTGCAAAACAAATGGATGAGCAAAATGGGATGTTCTCTAGATCTATGTGACCTCAGGACACATTTTTCAGGGGCATTTGTCACACAAATGGCAAGAAAAGCAGTGGGGGTTGGGACCTGCTGGTAGCTGGCATGCTGGCTGTGTGGTCCTGGGCAGGTGACTCAGCCTCTCTGAGCTGTGGTGTGCAGCTTTGAGAAACAGAATTATTAAGGCACATGCGAGACAATGAACATGAAGTATCTCAAAGCAGTTGCCTGTGGCCTGTGGTTACCACAATTTACTTCCAAACTCCTTCACAGCAGCGATGGGAAATGAGGCTCAGGGAAGGAGAGGGCCTGGGCCAAGGTTACTCCTGAACCTGAGCTGTCTAGGCCCTGTGGGTCACCCCGAGCCACCCCTGCTCCTTACCCAGGATGTCCAGCCACTCATCTGGGGCTGGGGCAGGCTCCGGCTCGGGCTCCATGGCAGCCAGGAACTCTCGGGCCAGGGCCCCAGGCGGCTCAGCCTCCTCCAGTGGGGGCTGCCCCAGGTCCTCAAGTGGTGGCAGCTCACTCAGGTCCTCCTCCTCCTCCTCCTCTTCCTCCTCACCCTCTGCGTCTTCCACCCCATCCAGCACCTCGAAGTCTTCAAGCGGTGGGACCCCAGCAGGCGGCAGGGCAGTGGGCTCAGGGCCCATAGCAGAGGGCTCAGCACAGGATGCCATGCTGCTGGGGGGACGGGAATTGGCCCTGGTTGGGGGTAACGGATGGGAGTCAGAATCCTACCCGGCCTTGCATCCATTCACCACACTGGCAATCACTTGCTTTGTGACTCCGATGCTCTAAGCTTCAGAGCAACAACCCTGCTTGTCCCCAGGATTAACAACCATGCCACCAGACCCTGGGCATCAGGCTCAAAGAGTGATAGCTATTAATAGAGCTAATTTCTCAGGAAATAGGGAGCATCCCCCACATTTTGCAGAAAAAGAAACTGAGGCCCAGAGGGGCAAAACCATTTGGCCCAAGATCGCTGAGCAAGCCAAACACAGGGGTAGAGTTTGGACCCAGGGCTTTATCTGATTAAATGCTCAGAGGGGGAACTGGGATTATTTTAGGGAGGATAGCCCCCGAGTTCTCAGGGAGGTTATCTTTAAAGCCTAAGGGAAAGGAAACTGAATCTTTACCAGGACTCCCCACCTCCAGCTTCCTCTACTCCTAAGAGGAGCCACCCAGCCTTTTCCTTCCATACCCTGAACCAGTTTTTCACCCCCCAAAACCAGGGACCCTGACCCAAACCCTTCCTTGGGAACCTTCTCTACTCAGGCCTCCCAACCACCCTCTGGAAGAAGCCTCCTCTACATAAGTGGTCGAGACCCCCACTACCTACTACAGCCTCTCCCCTGGGTCATCAAGAACTGCTCCCCTCCCCCAGGCTCGGAGGTGGTAGAGCCTTACTGCATTCCCCCCAGCCCTCACCTGCCTGCTCCTTCAGGGATCCGGCCCCATTTTCTGAGACCCTTCCAGCTCTTATCCCCACAATCCCCTGCGCTCTCATAAACCGCCCTCCCCCATCTCCCCCAACCGCCCCCAGCAGGGACCAACTTCGTCGCCCCGTAAACACCCCGGTGTCCCTAGACGCCCCGCTCCCGATCCCCTAACACCCTCTGCCCTCCACATGCCGTCACCCCACCGCCCAGCCCTGGCCCTCCGTCAACCTCCCATCCAGGCCCCCAACGCCCCACGCCAGTTTGACGCCACCAGTTTGGGGCACCCGACTCCCCACAAACCGCGGGCGCCGCCGGCCCTGCAAGTCTCTGCTGGCAGCGCCACCTGCTCCCCTCGGACCCCCGTGGCCCCTACACACGGCCGCGCCCCCTCTGGCACTCCGACCCCGGCGCCCCCGGGCTCTCCTCCCCCGCGGCCCTTCGCCCCGCCCATCGGCCGCAGCCCCCGCCGCGTCGGCCCCTAGGCCAACGCAGGGCCAGGCAGCGCCACCGGCCGGCGGAACCCCGCCGGCGACCCGGGACACGTGCCTCCGGCTCCGGGACCCCCGCCTGGGGTCCTGCGCCCCCCTCCCCACCCCCAGCCGTGGCCGCCGCGCCTCTGGAACTAGGCTTGCGCGCCCGGCACCGCCCCCACCGCGCCTATTTGCAGCCGCCGCCGAGACTGCAGCGCCCATTGGCCCGTGCGCACATCTGTCTCGGGCTCGGCACCGCCCCCTTCCTGCTTGTATTCCCGGAGCGTTCTTAAAGGGGCAAAGGCCGCAGTGCCATCCGGCAGGGGCGGGGGAGTCTGGAGTCGAGTCCCATTAGCCGGTGAGCTTGCGCAAACTGGCGCAACTCACCGCTTCTCATCTGCGAAATGGGGATAAGCACCTCCATCCACGCACTCTCACCTCGGGGGCTGTTTGGAGAACAGCGCTGAATGGTATTTCCTTAAGGAATTCAGGCATGACGGTTAGGGCAGCTCGGGCACTTCGCCCTGACGCCCTAGTCACAGACTTGGACCCAAAGCCCAAGTAGGGAGCGACGTGCACGAGGGTACATACAACCCCCACACCCCGCGTGGTCTGTCTAATCCCCAGAAGGGTGCCTAGTGCATACAGGAGGAGCTCAATTAGGGCTAGGTGACCGACTGAGCAAGCGTGGCCGCTGGGAGGTCTCCCTGTAGTCTGCTGTAGGATGATAAGGAGCTGTGAGAAGGTGACGGGATCGATTAGACGGGGTTTTATGGATCTTGTTTTGAAAGAGGGAGGGGGCACTTACTCGTCACGCGCTCTGTTTTATTTCCTTCCCAGCAGTTACCCCCTTCCAGAATGATCTTACTCATTCTTTTGCTTCTCCCCCTTCCCCCTACTCTGCTCCATCCTGTTAAGAATTTTGCCTGTTCTGTCCCTACTACTTTGAATGATGCCTACCACCTATGGGAGTTCAATAATGAATGAATAAATGAACGAATGAATGAAGGAGGACGCTGGCTTCTGGAGGTCGCTAACACTGGAGAAAGAAACTGGCTTTGTGAGATAACCAACTTGTCTGATGGGAGCTCTGTGGTCACCTCCTACAGGAAGCCTTCCCTCACCTCCCCAAGGTAAAGCCAGGTGCCCTGGTTAGCTGCCCTCTTAACAAGATGAACTCCTACTTCAAAACTGATTTACTTGTGTCTGTGCCATCATTTGACTTACCTCTCCCTCCCGCTACTAGATTGGAAGACCCCTAAGGTCTGGAAAGGCTCTGTTGTTTCCCATGGTTTTAGCCCTGAGGCCAGCACAGTACCTGGCACAAAAGAGGCAGTGGGGGTGGGGGGATTCAGAGAAATCATGGAAGGGAGGGAGGCAGGCTGGCTAGAACATCAAATAAATCCTGGGCCACTTCTGGTTCTGAGGGAATTGGACTATTCCCTGTTTACTTCTGAGCCTGTTTTTTTATCTGCATAGCAGAGTTACTTGCCTGTCCAGCCCCACCTCTGTTATAGGGGCTGGAGGAACTGTAGTAAACAACTTTAGTAAATAAACAGCTAAAGTAAGCAAATGTAAGAACACCAGCAATTATAATAATAATACTGTCGCTCAGGAATCAGAGGTATAGGCAAACACTACACATATTTAATCTTCACATTGGCCTTGAGACAAATACTCTGATATTTGGAGGTCATGTCATTGGCTGCATACAGAGTTGCAATTTTCATATTTTCCTGGTGGACTGAACTTTTTCTGTTGTGACATGTCCTCTTTATCTCCATGTTCTTGTCTTAGGGTGGGCTTTATTGACATTAAGATTGCACACCTGTCCTCTTTTGGTTCATGTTCTAAATGCTCCATCCTTTTCCATCATTTACCTTCCACATTTCTGTATCCTATGTTGTACATTTGTCTCTTGTAAGCAGCATGGAATTGGGTTTTGCTTTATGATCTAGTCTGCCCATCTTTGTCTATAAACTGGGGCATTTGATCTATTTACATTTAACATAATTATGGAACCTATTTGGACTTAAGTCTTCCTTCTTATGTATTTTTTTCTCTGTCCCACCTGCTCTATGCACCTTTTCACTCTTCTTTCTTGCCTTCTTTAGGATTGGATGCTTGTGTTTTGGTAAGACTATGCTCATTTTATAGATGGGGAAACTGAAGCACAAAGAAGATAACAACCTTGCTCATGACCACAGGGGAGAAGGGCAACATAGGCCAAGTATTTTTCCCTATTAACTTCAGTTCTAGCCAGGGAATTGGATATTGCCCAGTGATGCAGGTAAGTATCTAACTGCAGCTGTGATGGGTGCCACAAAGGAAATGAGACTGAAAAAAGTGGCAGAGAAAGGCTTCCAGTCCCCAATCTTAATCCTCTTACCCCACCAATGTCCTTATCACTGGGCTAACTGAGCATTCCCATCACTTCCCACCCTCTCACTTGAACACACAAAGAAGGAAAATATTTTTTCTTCACTCCTCTGTGCACAAAACATCTGGGGCCAGCCAAGTCCCTTTTGGCATCGATATGTAGTCTACACCCCTTCCAGGACCCTCATCAATGTTTCCTGGCCTCCAGTAGAGCCCAAGGGACCTATAGAAAAGCTTGGTTTCTCCATCCTTGGCCTATTCTGCTGCAGCCTGCAGAAAGAGGCATGGTTCTGCTTTTCCCAGCAGCCTCACCTGGGCTTTTCTGTCAGTGGCTGCTGCTTGGCTCACTGAGCTCCACGATTCTTACAGAGATCATGTCTACATTATATGCATTCCCACCATCCTGCCTTTGCTCCAAGGATTCACTCAGCCCTTAGTAATTGTCAGCAACTAGAAAACTCCTAATCCTACCTCAAAAACCCACCCTCATGTGCCTGCTTCCTTGCCCCTAAAATGAGCCCATACCCCACTCTTCAAGTTCTTCCAGCCTTGCATCTCTCCTTTCTGTAGTCCAACACTGTTCCTCTTGGGATTGGCAGGATCTTTTTCAAACTCTGTCTCCCTTCATCCTCCAGGGCTAGACAGAGACTGAGTACTTGCTGGATCCCCAAAATATGGGTCACACCCAGAGTGGGTGACTAGAGGGTATACTGAGCAAATTTTAAAGCTGCTTGTTGAACTAAATATATAAGAATCCTGGTTCTCATTAACTTCCCAATGAATAAAGACAGCAGACTATAGGAGTACAAATACAATTTACTTTCAGTTTACCAAGGGCTTACAGTGGGTCAAGCCTTATAAAAATTAACCTGAATGATTTCATAAGGTTAAGACACTTGCCCAAGACCATACAGTTAGGATGTAAGAGCTGGAATTAGAACTCAGATGTGCCCGATTCCAGGGCTATTAAAGACTCTTCCATGTGCTCAAGGACATGTATATATCTTCCAAGCTCCCAACAACTACAAAAAGCAGACATTGTGAACATCCAGCATCAGAGTTAACAAACTGAGACCCAGAAAAATAAGACATATAATATGTAAGACCTCAATAATTAATAATAATTGTGAACATTGAGTAATTACTATTTGTTTCATTTTGTTCTTGCATTTAACTTGAATTATGTCAAAAATGCATCCTCATATTAGTATGAACTCATGGTTCTCTGTATATATACCAGGGTACATATATAGAAGTAAACAGAGATGTGTGTATGCATGGGTTAGTAGTAATACGTGTATTCCCTAACTCTGATTGCCAAGAGGGTCTTTAAGTAATGGCACTCCAGAAACAGTGAGCACACCCAGCATCCAGATCTTGGTTTCTAAATATCACTCTTCAAGAAAAGGAACCAGGCTCCTTAGAAACATGGCTGATTCCAGGGATAGTCCAAAGCAAGCCTGGAACATTTCGTGGTACCCAAAGTAAAAGTACTGAGAGAAAGGTGAAGACATATAAAAGGACAGAGTTACAAGCCCTAACTTAAAGGGGCAGCAAAAGAAATAATATAAAATTAATTATAACCTACAGAATAAAATAAATATTCGTGAGTTTGTAGTGAAATAAATACTTGCATAGATACTTAATTGGAGAATGGACAGCTCTTGTTTGTGATAGAATTGCAATTAACAATTAATAAAATCACCGTTACACAAATACCATAGTAATTGTTGTTGGCAAGAGCCATGGATGGATACTAAAGCTAGTAGGCGAAAAATATGTTAAAAATAAAACAAAACTAGGGTATCTGCACGGTATTTTAAGCATCTCCCCATAATATATTTAATTATTGCAAAGGGGAAAATAGTAACTTGAGTTGAGAAACTGGCACATGCTTTAAGCAAGTAATCAAAGTCAGCATCACCAGTGATGAGACACAACATCTGTACCTCCTGATATGATGCCCTGAGGACACAACATCCCTTCTGGGGGATCCTGCAAAACTGTTCAACTTCAATCTCATCAAGAGGAAACACTGGAAAACCCATATTGATGGGTATTCTACAACAGTACTCGTCATAAGTATTAAGCTAATGAAAGATTAGGAAAGGCTGAAAAACTGTCACAGAGGAGAACGAGGAAGTATGACTAAATGCAACGTGGTATCCTTCTGGATTAGTAAAGGTCACTTAGTGGATCAGGTATTTTTGAACCTGGTAAGTCTGACTCCGAGCCTGGAAAGCAGGATACCTGAGTCTGAATGGACCACGGGCCACTCCAGTATTGTGTGACTTGTGGGGAGTGTCTGCCGTTCTCGGATCTCAGTCTTACCATCAATTAAACTGGATAACTTTCAGCTTCTCCGACCCCTTCCGAGTTCGAACTTTGGAAACTACGGAGGCGCGAGAGAGGCTGCTTGATTGGCTCTTTTCTGATACGTACATGCAAACTGGAGAGGCGTCTAAGCCCCACCCCTTCCGGCCGCGCCTCCATACACGCAAATCGGTCCCGGGCATGACCCCTTCACACTCGCTCGTACGTATGGGGCGTGGTGACGTTGCGGCTGCTCGGGCGC